CTCCAACTAACCTGTCCTATCTCAACATCCCCCCTGTTTGCAGTTTTGCAATACAGGAGAACCACCAGACTTAAACCAGACAAAGCAAACATATTCATCACCCCATTCATTTACTCATTCATTACTTCATCCTTTTACTCATTCATCACTTCATTCATTTACTCATTCATCACTTTATTCATTTACTCATTCATAACTTCATTTATTTACTCATCCATCCCCCATTCATTTACTCATACTTCCCCCATTCATTACTCATCAATCACTTTATTCATTAACTCATTAATCACTTCATTCATTTACTCATCCATCCCCCATTCATTTACTCATTCATCACCCCACTCATTTTTCTCATCAATCCCCCATTCATTTACTCATCCATCCCCCATTCATCCTCTCATTCATCACTTCATTCATTTACTCATCCTTCCCCCATTCATTTACTCATTCATCCTTTCATTCATTTACTCATTCATCCTTTAATTAATCTATCCAATCAGCACTCCATTCATTTACTTATTCATCACCCCATTCATTTGCTCATTTATCACCCATTCATTTACTCATTCATCACTTCATTCAATTACTCATTTAGCACTGCATTCATTTACTTATTCATCCCCCCATTCATTAACTCATTTATCACCCCATTTATTCACTTATTAATTACCCCATTCATTTACTTAAGCATCGCTCTATGTATTTACTTAACCATCCTCCATTTATTTACTTAATAATTCTTTAATTTATTTACTTAATCATCACTCCATTCCTTAAATTAATCATCCTTCAAATTATTTACTTAATCATCACTCCATTCATTTACTTAATCATCCTTTAATTTATTTACTTAATCATCACTCCATTTATTTACTTAATCATCCTTAAATTTATTTACTTAATCATACTCCATTCATTTACTCATTAATACTCCATTCATTTACTCATTCATCACCACATTAATATACTTATTAATCCTTTCATCCTTTTACTTATTCATTAACTCATTAATCATTTCAATTCAAAACTTCATTCATATCTCATTCATTAGTTTTATTTACCATATCATTAATTTAATCATTCATCCATGAACAAAATATACGATTTAATACGTAGAATGATAAGTTATTAACGAACAATGAGTATTGAGTGAGTAAAAAATGAATAAGTCACGAATGAAGTGTTACATTAATCAAATGAATAATTTAATGACTCCAGG